CATATGTTGTTTGATGTTGTGGTCCGGACAGCCGATTCTGAAAACCCATACGGAACAAATGTTGTTGAAGGATTGCGGCATGCGCTTGCGACGACGCGCGAGTGTATTTCGTCCCATGTGTTGCAAAGGATGGCTGCAAGTCGGTTATGGTTGATAAACGAATGCGCGCGCATAGTCTCATTTGACAAGAATGAATGGGGAATCGATACCGGTTTCGTTGGGATGACATGAGTTCATATTCACAGCGAACGACTGGGCATAATCGCACGTAAATTGCACATCCACAAAGGGGACCGATAATCCAGGCCTTTGGAGGGCGGTGGATCCGAATCCTTTTTCAGAAGGGAAATCCACGGCGGCGACGGGGCGGCGACGGCGGCCACAGCCGCCAGACCGACAGACGGACCCAAACAACGGGCGGCGACGAGGCGGCGACGGGGCGGCGACGGCGGCTACATTGCCGCCAGATTGACAAACAGGCTCGGACGACGGGCGGCGACGAGGCGGCGACGGGGCGGCGACGGCGGCCACATAGCCGCCAGACTGACAAACATACTTAGTTCATAGGAAACGAACTACGAATCTCGAACTGCACGCACTGTTCGGGGAAATATCAAACAATATCCGCCAGCGTAGGCCCCAAACAATGCTTTTCTAGCAACCCATGCCGAGCGGGAAATGTGGTGCGATCTACATGTGTGGCGCAATATATTGTATGAATGCTATGTTGGGAAATATACGTGAAACAATAACGTGGTACAAGATATGTCGTGCAATCGATGTGGTGCAAAGTATGTGGCACCATATAAGTGGAGCAATGTATGTGTTGCAACCCATGTGCTGAAATATATGTGGTGCGATCGATGTGGCGCAGTTGTTGGAGAGGGGTATGTGGTGCGATGTATGTGGTGCACGCTATGCGCTGCAAGCTATGTCGTGCAACACATGTTGCGCAAGCTATGTAGTACAAGGTATGTGGTGCATATCTGGGCGGCGACGAGGCAGTGACGGGCAGCGACGAGGCGACGACGGGGCGGCGACGGCGACCACGCAGCCTCCAGACCGCCAGCCAGGCCCAGACGACGGGCGGCGACGGCGACCACGGAGCCTCCAGACCGCCAGCCAGGCCCAGACGACGGGCGGCGACGGGGCGGTAATGGCGACCACGGAGCCGCCAGACCGCCAGCTAGGCCCAGACGACGGGCGGCGACGGGGCGGCGACGGCGAGCACGGAGCCGCCAGACCGCCAGCCAGGCTCAGTTCCCGAAAAACGAAGTGAGAGCAGATTGAGTGCAAGCATTGTTTGAGGATACGCTTCGCGTCACCCCACCAACCCATCCTGAAACGATGCCCAGACGAATTGCCGTGATCAGTGATGTGAAGGAGCATGCAGTGGAAAAATAGTTGGGCAAGACTTCATACCTCAAGAGGGGCAGGATGAGGATGAATCGGAGGAGGAGGAGGAGGAGGAGGAGAAGGAAAAGGAGAAGGAGCAGGAGGAGGAGGAGGAGCAGGCGGAGAAGGAGGAGCAGGAGGAGGAGGAGGGGGAGGGGGGGGGGAGGGGAGGGGGAGGGGAGGATGGAGGGGGGAAGAGGAGGAATAGGCTGATTAGGAAGAGGAGGGGGAGGAGGAGGAGGAGGAGGAGGAGGAGGAGGAGGAGGAGGAGGAGGAGGAAGAAGGTGAGCAGAATGGCCAGAAGCCGCAGTCTCTTCGGATGTGTTCCGAGAGCTTCGGGAGTACGGTTGGCGTGTTTGGGGGGCATCTTGGCAGTCCCGGGTGCCTCTTGGGGCGCTTGGGTGCTTCTGGGGAGTCTCTTGGGAGCCTTTTGGGGGGCATCTTGGGGACCTCTTGGGCGCCTCTTGGGGCCTCCTGGGCACCTCTCGCCCTTGGGGCCATCTCGGAGGAGATCAATCAAAGGAGAGGGGCTCCTCAATCAGGGTCCCACCCTAGGAGACCAACATGTGCCCAAAACCTTCGTAACATGAATGATGTTGGCCGTCTCGTCGAGGCCTGTTAAAGCGCCTGGGTGCCTCTGGAGGGCCTCTTGGGAGTCTCTAGGGGGCTTGGGGGGCATCGCTGGGGCCTCTTGGGGGCCTTGGCACCTCTTGGGGCCGTCTTGGAGGAGATCGATCAAAGGAGGGGGGGCTCCTTAAGTAGCGTCCCCACACCCAGGATGCCAAAACGTGGCCAACACCTTGGTGGAACCAATGGTGTGGACCTTCTCGCCGAGGCCTCGAGGCGACGTGCGTGCCCCTGGGGGGCCTCTCAGGGTATCTTGGGGGTCTCTTGGGCGCCTCTTGGGGGCCTCTTGGGGACATCGTGGGGCCTTCTGGGCACCTCGTGGGAGCGTCTTGGGGCACCTTTGGGAGCCTCGGGGGCCATCCTGGGGCCATCTTGGAGGAGATCGATCAAAGGAGGGGAGCTCCTCAATTAGCCCCCTCCCCCTGGAGGCCAACATGTGGCCAAAATTTGGTAACATCAATGAGTTTGGCTTCCTCGCCGAGGCCAAACAACTACCTGTCGCACCCCCCCCCCCAGACCCAGGGGGAGGGGGGAGGGGGAGATAAGTCCCTCCCCAGAGGGGGAGAAGGGGGTTGGAAGAGAAAACGCCCTAAACCATTCAAGCCCTACAGGACCGGTGGGATGTACACAGACATGTTAGCCAGCGTGGACCCCAAACAGTGCGTGTCTATCAATAGTTGTGGAGCAATACATGTGGCGCAGCATCACGGTGCAGCTTATGTACACTATATGTTGTGCATATATGGTGTACAATGTATGTCGTGCGATCTATGTTGTGCAGTTTATGCAGTGCAGCATGCGTTGGGCACTCCATGTGGTGCACTTCAAGTCGTGCAATATCTGCGGTGCAATATAAAGATATCTATATACATATATATATATATATATATATATATATATATGTGTGTGTGTGGTGCGACCGATGGTGTGCCCTCAATGTGGTGCAATCCACGTGATGCAATATGTGCGGTGCACTCTACGTTGTGCAATATACGTGATGCGGTATATGCGGTGCAATTCACTGCCGAACTTGAAGTTGTCAATTCCACTGCTCGCGCAATCATCCCACCCACCCACCCGCAACTTCGTTTGCAAAACCCATGCGGCGGCGATTGAGATGAATGCTGGGTGTTGGCTGGTGCATCTCTGCGGCCGCGCTAGCCCGCGCATGCTCGTGCGCGCAGCGGCCAGCTAGATTGGCGCGACCGACGCGAACGCGGTGGCGCTGACCGCTCGGCACGTCCCAGCGGGCACTTCAGTGCGAGTCGGCGATTTGGGCGGGCGCGGTATCATGGCAACGTCGGCTACGGTAGGCATGATGATGATTGATAGTAACGATGCTGGCGACGGTGTTGACAGCGACGACGGGGCAGCCAGTGACGGCGCCGATGGTGATCCCGCCGGCGACGATGACGGCGTCTTCGCGTCGGTGATGAAAGTTTCGGAGGGAACCCGCGCAAGGGCGCCCGAACGATTTCGACATGCGCACGCGAAGCCCGTCCTGTTTGGTAGCATGTTATGAAAGTGGAGAATTCCAGCGTATGGTTTCCTTGAAAATTCGCAAGAGCGCGCGCACGCTTTTGTTGAACACCCGTGTTGCGAAACCCTGTGTTTGTGTTTTTTGGACACTCGATCGCGAAATCCTTCCGAAAACCATGTTTTTGAACGATATCGGCATGCGCGCGCGACGACGCGCGCGTGCGCACTTCGTCCCGTCTGTTGCAAGGGATTCGGGAACTTGTGATTCGTGATAAACGAGTGCGCGCGCATAGTATTTTCCTGCCAGGGAACCGGGGGGGGGCGATACCGTACCAGCGTGGCTGGGATAGTATGAATTCATTGGTAGGATGGACAGTGGGTCAGAACCATATGTATGTTGCATAAGTTCCCGGGGAATCGATAAGCCTGGGGTTGGAGGGTGGTACAATTTAGATCCTTCTTGGAACAGGAAATATATGCGAGGCGGCGATGGGGCGGCGAGGCCGTCGACGGAGCGGCGACGGCGACAACATAGCCGCAAAACCGACGCACAGGCCCACACTATGGGCGGCGACGGGGCGGCGACGGTGACAAAATAGCCGCTAGACCGACGCACAGGCCCAGTTCCTTAGAACAGGAGTGGGAACCCTTACGTGCAAGCACTGGTTGAGGACACACTTATGTGTATGCCTGTTGCAGTATGACAGGACATCCCTGGAGGGTCAGATGGCATTGGTGGGACTGGTGGAGCGGAAAGGGCACACGACCCTTGATGAATGACACGGCATTCGCATGCTTGCAACGGTATGGCGGGGCCTCCAGGGAGGTTCCGACCGTTTAGTGGGATTGGCGGAATGGGGAGAGCGCGAAATTTGATGCATACCACGAGATTCGCATGATTGCCACGGTCTGGCAGGCCCCCCTTGGAGGGTCAGACGGCATTGGTGGGATTGGTGGAGTGGGGAAAGTACGAAATGGTAAACGAAAGGGCATTCGTATGTTAACCTCGGTCTGGCGAGACCCCTCTGGAGGGTCGGACGGCATGGGTGGGATTTCTGGACTGGGATTGGTGGGATTGGTGGAGTAAGAACGGCACGAACCTTGATGCAGTGTTCTTGCAGGAAGGGGGAAGGAACGAGGAGGAGGAGGAAGAGGAGGAGGATACACCGCTCCTCGAGGAGGGGGAGGAGGAGGAGGAGGAGGAGGGAGGAGGAGGAGGAGGAGGAGGAGGAGGCGCGGGAGGCGGTCTTAGAATGCAAGAGCCCCAGAACACCACCCAGGATATAGGAACAAAGAAGTGGTTCAATCGGTCTTCGTCGTCGTCGACGTCGGCGGCGGCGGCGGCGACGACGACGAGGACGACGACGACGACGACGACGACGAAAACGACGACGACGCCGATGCCAACGCCGACGCCGACACCGACGCCGACGACGACGGCGACGGCGACGAGGACGAGCAGCGGCGGCCCCGCGCGCGGGGCCGTGCCCACCCGCGAGGACACCGGGGGCGGCGGCCCGAGCGAGGAGGCGGCCCGCCGCGTGGCCGCTGCCGCCGCGGCGGGGGTGGGGGCTAAGCGCTTCCCCCTCCTCGCTTCGTCGGCGAGTGCCTTCGGGGGGGCCTTCTCCTCCTCCTCCTCCTCCTTCTCCTCCTCCTCCTCCGCCTCCTCCTCCTCCTCCTCGCGGGTCGAAACGCTTCGTCGGCGAGTGCCTTCGCTTCAATTTCGAGTTGTGCTTCAGCTTCGGCGCTGGCATCCTGCCCGTGTGTTTCCAGTGGTTCCTGCAAAATGTTTGTGGCGTTTCAGGTCGCCTCGTTGCTGGCAGCCCGAGGCACGCGGGGAGCGCGGTGGACGTGGAGAAGGCGTGGGCGCAAGCAAGCCCCCCCGTCCATAGGAAAAGAACGGAACTCTCCTTCCTCCTCGGAGAGCGATGTCTCCTCCTTGCGTGCTTGGCACTGGCTTTCGGACTTCTTCCGTAGTGCTCGACACGCTGCGTGCGCGGCGGCTTGCTACCTGACTGTTGCCAAGACCCACTCACCCACTTGCTACGGTAAGTTCGCGTCGAGTTGCCGCGGCGGTGACACCAGTGCGGGTGTTCAAGGTTGAACGCCTCCAGTGGCCCAGAATCGGCCGATAGCGAACGATCTACCCTATCGGAGAGCCGTGATTGGGGTGTCAGAGACCACCGCCGACGTCATCGCGACGCGAACTTGCCGTACCTGTAGCTCCTCCAAATCTTGCTGTTGCCGACGGTTTCACGGGGCCGCTCACAAGCGGGAAGTAAGGCCCGCGGCGCGACCTTGGGTAGTTTGGGCCGCGGTGTTCGGTAGGGGAGCCGCCTCCGCCACAGAGGTCTCCTCCTCGTCCCCCTCCCCCTCCTCCTCCTCCTCCTCCTCCTCCTCCTCCGCCTCCTTCTCATGCGTTGCTAGCGCTTCATGAGGATTCGAGCGCTTGCTTCGCGCCGAAGACTTGATCAACGAATCCTCAAGTGTGGTCGCGGCGCACGACGGCCCAGCCGCACCACACCTGCATATCCTCAAGTCACCCCCACCTGTTTTCTTCCCCACCCTCCTCCCCTCCTCCCCCGTCTTCGCCCCGCCGCCGCCGCCGTCGTCGTCGTTGTTGTCGTCTTCGTCGTCGTCGTCGTCGTCGTCGTCGCGCGGTGGTCCCCTGTCCTCCCTGGGCTCGTGGCCCCCTTCGCGGGGGTGGCATCTAAGGTATCGTTTCTGAAAACGCCCAGGGTGGCACATTTTGAGTGACAGGCTCGTTGGGCCCCACACGTGGCGGGAGCCGCCCGGCACCCACGCGCACCCTCGGTTTTGCATTGCGGCCTTGCTGGGCCCCGGCGCTGGCGCCGGTGTTTGCGTTCCCGGACCTTTTCTGGGAATTGTTGACGCTTCGCGTATCCCCACCAGCCCATCCAGAAACGATGCTCAGGGGAGTTGAGGTGATCAGGGAAGTCGGGGAGCATGCAGAATAACAAAGGGCGGGGGAAGCTGTCACAGACCCCGAGAGGGGGAGGATGGAAGAGGAGTCGTCGTCGTCGTCGTCGTCGGAGGAGGAGGAGGAGGAGGAGGGGGAAGAGGAGGAGGAGGAGGAGGAGGAGGAGGACGGAGAAGGAGGAAGAATCGGAGGAGGAGGAGGAGGAGGGGAAGGAGCTTCTTGGGGGTCTTTTGAGGGCCTCTTGGAGGGCTTTTTGGGCGCCTTGGGGCATCTTGGGCGCCTCTTGGGACCCTCTTGAGGCGCTCTGGGGAGCCTTCGGGGCGCTTTTGGGGCCATCTTGGAGGGAGTCGATCAAACAAGAGGGGGGGTTTAATTAGCGTCCCCCCTCGGAAGCCCCTAAAATCGCCTCTTGGACCCCTCTTGGAACGCTCTTGGAGTGCTCTTGGGCGCTCTTGGGGCCGTCTTGGGGCTCTTTTGGGGCTCTCTTGGGGCCCTCTTGGGCCATCTTGGAGCCATCTCCAGGCCTCGGATGGCCATCGGAAGCGAAAAGGCGAGAAAGCAAAAATCATTGATTTTCCTTAGGTTTTGGGACGATTTTGGCCTCTTCGGGGCCTCCTTGGGGAGCTGTTTGGCCACTTGGAGTTATCTTGGGGCCGTCTTTGGGCTTCTTGGAACCATCTTAGGAGCCATCGTGAGCGATCTTGCGCTATCTTGAGCCATCTTGGAGCTCATCTTGGGTTCTCTGAGGCGCTCTTGGAGCCGTCTTGGGCCATCTTGGACGCTCTAACTACCCGCGGCCCCCCCCGTCCAGGTCCAGGGGAGGGGGTAGGGGGAGGGGTAAACCCCTCCCCAAGGGGGAAGAGGGAGGGGTGGAAGAGGATCTGCTCTAGACCACCTACGCCCAGAGGGCTGGTGGGACTTGTCGGTGGACGCTCCGGGGCTAGGCCGGAGGCCCCCCGCCGGGCCCAAATCGGTGGCGCGCTCTGTGGCACTCTAGATTTTGCCGGCACTCTTTAGCCCTTCTATCGTGTCACAGCCTCCGCTTTCGATCGTATCACGGTCTCGGCGTGGCAGGCCCGAATTGTGGGCTTCTAGAGATCTTCGACTGTCTCTGAGGCCGATTGGGCGGTCAATGTCAGACTATAGTGGTTTTGGCGCCCTGCCCTGCTGGGCCCAGGTCGCTGGAAGCGGCCGTTCAGGTTTCCACTGGGCCTCTTCTCTCGTCCTCCTTCTCCTCTCGTCTCCTCCTCTCCCGGGGTCGCGGCACGGGGTGCGCCAGGATGGCCGCTCCCGTGCTGTAAATTGGCGCATGCGCCGGCTGCATGCGGGGGTGGGCCACTGACGTGCCGCCCGGTCTTGTGGGCCGCTCCCTCCAAGGAGCCGCTGCTCGCTCGCGCTGCCTCTTTGGCTCCCCGCCTCCACACGGCATGGCCGTGCGGACAGCCTCGTCCATCATTCAGTGTTTCAGTTGCGTTCGGGAGCAACTCTTAGCCTTGCCTGTCTCACTCCATTGGGACGCTCCTGCACGCAACTTACAGCACAGCGTGCCTGAATTCAGATCCTCTGACGCTGGGAGGGCCCCGGGGTTACAGTAATTCTTTACGCTTCGCGTATCCCCACCAGCCCATTTCACAGCAGCAGGTCTCGCGAAGCATGTCGACAGTTGTGTTTTTCAGGGGTGTGTCCGCTGAACTCCGTGTATCCCCCTTGTCCCTCCTTCCTCCCGCCTCCTTGTTAATCTTTGTCGTGAGGTGAGGCGTTGGGGCACGCCGTTCGCGCGCGAGGCGATCGGGGTTTGCGCAGGTGGAGTCGTAGAAGTAGTAGTAGTAGTAGTAGTAGTAGTAGTAGTAGTAGTAGTAGTAGTAGTAGTGGTAGTAGTAGTAGTAGTAGTAGTAGTAGTAGTAGTTGTTGTAGTAGTAGTCGTAGTAGTCGTAGTAGTCGTAGTAGTAGTAGTAGTAGTAGTAGTAGTAGTAGTAGGAGGAGGAGGAGTAGGATTAGTTGTAGTAGTAGTAGTAGTAGTAGTAGTAGGTGTAGTAGTAGTACTAGTAGCAATAATAGTTGTAGGGGGAGTAATACTAGTAGAAGTACGAGTAGCAGATGAAGTAGTATGAGTAGTATTCGTAGAAGTAGCAGTAGCAGGAGTAGTGGTAACAGTAGTAGTAGCATTAGCAGCGATACTACTAGTAGCAGTGCCAGTAGAAGTAGTTGTCGTCGTAGAAGTAGTAGTGCTCGTAGTAGTACGAGCAGGAGTAGCAGTTATAGCAACCGTAGCACTACTAGTAGTAGCAGCAGTAGTTGTACTAGTCGTCGTCGTAGTAGTAGTAGTACTACTAGGAGTAGTAGTAGCAGTACTAGTAGTAGTAGTAGTAGTAGTAGTAGCAGTAGCAGTAGTAGTCGATGTAGAAGCATTACTAGTAGTACTATCTCCGAACACGAACTCCAGCGAAGCACGCACTCAGTCGTTTGGTGCATGCGTGCTTCTGTATAGTTCTCTGTGGGGAGAGCTGAAGTAGTGCGAGTCGTCGTCGAGTCGTCGTCGAGTCCAGCGATCTTTCCCGACCAGCCTCGTTGTCGTTGCCATTCTTGCTTCAGTATTTCAGGGTGGCCGTGAGCTGCGCTCCGCCTTCAGTAATCGTCTCCGCCTACTAGCATCATCTTTGCGGCTGGCATGAAGAAGCGCCCGTGCGTTTTTTTGTATTCTTCCTCGCTACGGGAGCTCCTTGGAGCGTCACGGAGAATGTCGGTTGTCGGCATTCTCGCATCATTTTCAGCTTCGACAGCGCAGCCGGCGCGATGTACTTAGGTTCGCATGGCCTGGCACGTGATGGGCAGGCCTACGCCACGAGGGTAGTGAGCGTAGCTCAGCCCATCACGACGACGTCGACGAGGACGACAGGACGACGTCGACGTCGAGAGAACGACGTTGACGACGATCACGACGTCAATGGTGATTTGGCTTGCGAGCCGAACGCACGCGCCTACTGCGCTTTGGCACGAGGTGCCTGTGTTGCGCAAGTACTGCGCGTAGTCCATCACGGCGACGAGTTTGCCACTTTTGCTTATGATGCATGACATATCCTTCTCCATTCGCCCCGCTTTCGTTCAGCAGGACGTCGTTGCGGCTAGCGGTCGGTGACATGCAGGCACGGCGGTCATCGCGAGATGTCTCAGAGACGCGCCACTCTCGAGGTTTTGTCTGCACGATCCGTCCTCATTGCGACATGAGGGCATTCATTCTTCGCATGCATATACACGCATACATTCAAAACAGACGCATTCACACATCGAATACGCAGAGACACACGTTAAGGAGGCACAGAGAGAAATATACAGAAGTGGAACGTTCTTCCCCTCCTCTTCCAAAGGGTGTGAGGGGGCCCGCCACTTTTCCTTTGGATGTCGATCCGGCCCATGTGGAGGTCTGAGAGTCGAAGTTCCAAGTTTCGTGCGCCGCGCTCGTGTGCAGTTGATGCGTCGAGCGTTACGCAACGTGGTGGCTGAATTGTACCGTCTTGTTTTATGGAAAAACGAAGAAAAAGTACAGCAGGTAGATGGCTCGGAACTCTTGCAAGAGTAGAATGTGTTGAG